ACCCATCTAGATACTTTTTAAATGGTGTAATTGTACCCATCTTCTCTAAGTTTTAGGCAAAGTTGCAATCCATTAAAACAGGGTTTAGCAGTTTAACCACTTTTTCTTTACCTATTCATAGTAGTGTAATCTGAGATAATATGCTGATCGGCATTATTTTTCATCTGAGCATTTTACACTGGTGGAAACCAGCATCCTTATTTGATGAATTCTTGAGTTTAATTTGCAATAGAAAATGCTTTCATGCTGTCAATGAAGTATAATTTCAGTCATCCATGTCGATAGAAAGATTGCTGCATGGATCTAGGCTTGATTGCAAGGTAGTTTTTACAGCCATTGAATTGTTTCTGGAAACACGCTTAATTTCAAATTATTTGCTAGTTCCATTGATCTCTTCCCACAAACAGGCGACCCAGGAAAGTCACATGTTAGTTTCTTTAACTACAACTGATAGCTTTCTTGTTTAGGTCCATTTTGGTTGAGAATAAGGCCTGGGGTTACCACATGTTTAGTTCAGTCTGTGTGGGATCAAACGAATAACACAAGATTACATAATTACAGGTGAATTGACCTCAACCACTTAAACACTGAAGTTCTGTGAACTTATTTGCTGACTTAAAGTTCTCTTCATCTGAAACAGTTCTTAGCTTCCAAATTGATTGTACCTGCATTTGGGAATAATGAGTTTTGGCCAAAAGTGTCTGTTGTAAGGAGTGTTTGGGTCATCAAATTAATGATTAATTGCTCTGCTCTGCTCTGTTCAAAATTAATACTTTAAAGTTGAATTACTAACTTCCTGAGACATGCATTCCATTTTGCTAGAGATTACGGACTAGAATATAGCAATCCAATTTCTTGATAGCACTGATTTTTGGCAGATATAACAAAATTCCTGTCTATTATGCTACTTGTCTTCTGACTCCACATGTTATGACCTTAGTCATGATTCTATTACATAGTACAGGTTGTTTGCCTTTGGGAAATTCAGATACCATGTATTTCCTTGATGATAACAACTTGAGTATTGCTGAAAAATGTCACATTTGGTTGAAGCTTTTTATTCGTGCTTATCAGAACAGTTCACAAATTAAGGAGGAAACCAAAGTTTATAATGTGTAGGGGGGAGAATGTTGATTGTTTGGCAAATGGACTTTGCAAGCATTACCATGGAGAATGTACCAGATTGATGTTTAGCTGCCAGGTTTTGTTCAAATTTTAAAGCAGGCAGCTTGACTCTGGTCAAAGCGTTTGCCCTGATAAATAAATCACTGGTTATCAGTGGTATCGTTGAGTTGAAATAGGTCGTGTATGTGTATTCTTTATGTCTGCACAGACCCAGATCCTGTGTATTAGTATGCATCTTCCAGTGCATGCAAACATGTGAGCCTGACTGACAATCCCAACTCCACACAATGGGTGACAGTCAATTGCTGGCTTATTTATTTTAGGGCAGTGCTTTGACAAATCGGTCAGCCTGTCTGGTTTAACATTTAAGAGCAGCGATTGATCTTCATTAACTGGTGCATCCTTGATGGCCACATATTTACCCATCTGCACTCGCCAGCCAGTCAGCACTCTCCTCCTGCATTACCAATGTTGGTTTTCCCCTTTAAGGTTGTATTCTTGCAAATTGTGCTGATGTCAGAAAAATAAGAAACTTTGTCAAAATTGCCTTTTTCGTCAGGAAATAATTTAAAGCAAATAATATTCATGCATTAAAGAGGTCTAGAAAAACACTTAACAGAGATGGTTCTGATTTAGGTTTAGATGAAAAAACATGAAAGTTTTAATTTTTCACAGATGCAGGTGTAACTGGCTAGGTCATTAGAGGATGTTTAAAAATGACAAACAGGCAAATCTAAAGGCTTTATGTTGAATGCGAGAAACATTCAGAATGAGATGAACTGGTGCAAATTGAGGTAAATTAATATGATTTCAGTCATTATGAAGACATGGTTACACTGAGATCAGAACTGGAAATTTAATGTTCAGAGATATTTGACCTTTTGGAAAGACAGGAGGAAGGTTGAAATGAGGACAGTTGAGGGGTGATCTAGGCTTGGATGTTGAGCAATCCATTTTGGAGGTAAATAACAGGGGAAAGACTATGCTGATAATAGTAGTAGAACGAATCCCCAAACAGTAGCCAAACTGTAATAAAGTGTATAAACAAATAAGAGTCCCCATTGTCCTACTGGACCAAGGGGTTGCTGTCATTAGAGGGAAACAATTTGTGATGGTTTAACCTGAGGGTCCCTACACTTAGGCAAGGAGAGTCAGCTGGTACAAGAATTGAACCCTCGCTGTTGGCCACACTCTGCATTGCAAACCAGCTATCCAGCTAAATATTGCTAACTATTTTTTATTTGAGGAGGTCTAAACCAGAATGAGTTGAAGGCATTTGACAGCATACCCCAAAAGGTTACCAAGAGATAAAAGCCTATGGTGGAGGATGTAATTTGGTGTAACTTGAGAATTGGTTAATGGGCAGGAATCAGCATGTGGGATTAAAGGGTTCTTTTTCAGGCTGATAACCCTGTAACCAGAGGTGTTCCACAAGGATCAGTGCTGGGACCACAACTGTTTATAATATGTTAATGACTTGGAGGAAGGAAGCAAATGTACAGTAACCAAATTTGGCAATGACACCAGAAATCGGTGGAAAGGCAACACCTTTATAAGAAGGGGAGTAGAATGTGGGAAAATGTGGCGTTCATTTTGGAAGGGAGAACAAAGGAACACTATTTAAATGGAGACAAACTGCAGAAAGCTGCAACATAAAGGAACTTGGAGGCATGAAACACAGCAGGTACAAGTAGTCAGGATTACTAATGGAATATTGGCCCTTATTTCAAGGTGGAGTATAAGGGTAAGGAAGTCGGACTGAAACTTCACAAGATACTAGTGAGACCACATCTGGAGTACTGGTGCCATTTAAGAGTTAAGTGGATGCCATTTTTTTGTTTGTTTCTTTATTCATTCATGGGCTTTGGGCATCTCTGGCTAGGCCATTGTTTGTTGCCCTCCGAGCAGTTAGGAATCGACCACATTGCTGTGGGTCTGAAGTGGCACGTAAACAGGACCAAGTAAGGATGGAAGATTTTCTTTCTTTAAAGGAGGTCGTAAACCAGATTTTTAATGACATTTGACAGTGATTATGTGGTCACCTTTAGACTAGCTTTCAGTTGTCCTCACCTCTGCTTCGAGTGAACTTTAGGCCTGCTCTATGCCTTAATCCTGTATAATCTATCACATTGCTTGAATTTTACTCTGAATTTTTTTTAAAAAAGTGAACCGTTAGTAAAGCATGATCTTCACTTCTGGAATCTGTGGTAGCTACTCCTTTTTATTTTAATGTTAACTTAAATCCATAGTTTCCTGAAATGAAAATAATGGAGAAATCCCAGCAGGTCGAGCAGCACCCCCGGTGACTGGGTTGGGGGGTGGGGGAGGAGGAGAGAGAGAGAGAAACAGTTAACATTTTGAGTCTGATATCAGAACACAGTTCTGAAAAGTCACATCAGACTTGATTTCTCTCACCACAGATGCTGGAACTACTGGATTTCTCCAGCACTTTGTTTTTATTTCAAACTTCCAGTTTCTTAGTATTTTGCTTCTATTTTAGGTTCCATGAATTTTGTTTTAGTTCACATGTTGGGTGTAGGCCTCGCTGACTAGGCCAGCATCCCCCCAACCCCTAATTGCATTGGAACTGAATGGCTTGCTAGGCTGTTTCAAAGGACTGTTAAGAGTAAGCACCTTGCTGTGTTCTGGTGTAAGTCAACAAATTTCCTTCTGTAGAGGACATTAGTGAACCAGATGTTTTTCACAAGAATTGACAGCAGTGTGGTCGCTCGTCATTAGGCTAACCTTTTTCATTCCAGACTTCAAAGTTCATATTCTGCCATAGTGCAATTCGAACCCATAGCTGCAGAACATTAGTTTGGATTCTGAATTACTAATCCTGTAACAGTGCCATTGTACCACTAATTCCTGTAATACTGGAATCACATTAGCTGTCCTCAGTCCTTTCTCGCTATTAGCTTTTCTAATGAATTCTTTGAGATGTCCCTGCTGCCTTTTCACTAAGTATATTTAATATGCGCAAGGGTGGTCTATCCAGGCCAAGGGTTTTACACTCATCCTGTGTGACTTAAAAAAAAAGGGGGAGGGAATTGATTTAAATAATATCAGATGTCTTGTCTGTACTGATCTCATTCCACTATCGGGTCCCCAAAGTTAGTCCTAATGGTAATTACTGAAGCAAAATAATCAATATTTGTAATATTTTGCCGTGTGCATCCCTTAGCAGTCACATTCCTAACCTGATTTATATTTCTTTTCTATTCCTTGGCTTAATTTTGTATTTTCTTTTGTCATTTTGCTACCTTTTGATAACATAATGGTATATGCCTTTTTCAGTTTTTGTCTGACCATGCTGTCTTGTTACTGATTAATTTCTTTTTGCTTTCTGTTAGGCTACACTTCTGCATGACTATTTACCACAGTTTTAATAGGAAGCGGTAGATCTGTTACGTTTCTCATTTGGAAAGAGGAAATACAGTCAAACTTCGATGGAGATCATTGAGCTGTTGTCTGTTTTGAAAGAAATGCTGTGTTTTTCCCACACTTTACCTACAATTCTCTAAATTACCTTTTGATAATTTTAGAAACATTTCCCTTTGCAAGTGATAGCAGAACTAGAGACCAGAATCGGTTTGTCACTAAAGTCCAGTGAGCAATTCAGAATAAATTTCTTTACCCAGATAATGATAAAATCGAACTTGCTCCCTTAGATGCAGTAAAGGGAAAAATAAATAAATATGATTAAAGTATAAGAGTTGAAGCTCGGAGAATTGTAAAAAGTTAGTGTGAAGTATGAATGCTAGAAATGGGCTGAATGGCCAGTGTTGGTGCTGTTAACGTTTGTCTATATAATTTAAGAATTTCAGAAATGTCTGTAATATTCTGAAATTAAATATTTTTCCAATCTTTTTCAGGTCTATTACTGTCATGTGTTATCCTTGTATTATCCCAAAGAGCACTCTTCAGACTGTACGCATTTGGCTGTGTTGTTCTACTTGCTGCAACTTCTGTGCTAGTGAACTACTACACCACGCTCCACATTGATTTCTACAATGCATACTACTCTGCAGTGTTTGGGATGCAGCTGTTACCACGCAATGGCCCAACATTGTGGTTGGCCCTTATTGCAGTTCAGCTCACAATTGGCATTGGGTATGCAACATTACTGAGCATTCCATCAGTATTTTCTGCATTGACTGTGCTCAATTTCTTACTGCCTATACTAAGCCTGGCCTTGGAGTTACCAGAAGATATTCAAAATCTGTTAGTTGCCTTTTCAGGCATGTATATAACAGCACAGACTGTATTTTACGTAACTCTGAATTTAAAATGGTTTTATTATACAATAAGATATGTTTATTTACTGTTACGGCACATGTATCGTATATATGGATTACAAGTTATAGTGGAGGACACGTGGAAGAGGATTCGTTTTCCAGATGTGTTGAGGGTTTTTTGGTTGACTCGGCTAGTGGCACAGGCCATTATTTTAGTTTATGTTGTTAAAGTGACACAAAGTGATTCAGAGAACAAAAGCTACTTTATTTCCTGGAGTGACAGCTGGGAGGTGCTCTGCAATCTCATAATAAGTGGGTGTGACTCAACATTGACTGTCTTGGGCATGAGTGCAGTTATCTCATCATTAGCACACTACTTGGGACTTGGGATCTTAGCCTTCATTGGGTCTACCGAGGAGGAAGATAAACGCTTAGGATTTGTGGCCCCTGTTTTATTTTTCATTTTAGCTCTGCAGACAGGTTTGAGTGGACTGGAACCTGAAGAAAGACTAGTTCGCCTCAGTCGCAACATGTGCCTTCTTTTGACTGCAATCCTGCATTTTATTCATGGAATGACAGATCCTGTGCTAATGTCACTTAGTGCCTCCCATGTTTCCTCCTTCAGAAGACACTTGCCTGTTCTCATGGTTTCCATTAGCCTTTTCATTCTTCCAATTATACTCAGCTGCACCTTGTGGCAGGTCCACACACTGAACACTTGGCTCTTTGCTGTGACAGCATTCTGTGTTGAATTGTGCTTAAAAGTAATTGTTTCCCTTACTGTGTACACTCTCTTTATAATTGATGGGTACTACAATGTTTTATGGGAAAAACTAGATGATTACATTTACTATGTTCGTTCAACAGGCAATGTTATTGAGTTCATTTTTGGAGTGATAATGTTTGGAAATGGAGCTTACACAATGATGTTTGAATCTGGTAGTAAAATTCGTGCCTGTATGATGTGCTTACATGCTTACTTTAACATTTATTTGCAAGCTAAAAATGGATGGAAGACCTTTATAAATCGGAGGACTGCAGTTAAGAAAATTAACTCCCTGCCAGAAGTAAGAGGCAACAGGTTGCATGATATTGGTGATGTGTGTGCAATTTGTTACCAGGAGTTCACTACTTCAGCACGCATCACGCCTTGCAATCATTATTTCCACGCCCTTTGTCTGCGCAAGTGGTTATACATTCAGGATACCTGTCCTATGTGCCATCAGGGAGTATACATTGAGGAAAATCCGAATGAAAGCACAGTATTTGTCAATAACAATGGAAATATTCCACAACAACCAGTAGTGGAGAACTTGGTGGTGGCGGCTGCTGCTGTTGATGCTGACAGTGATCTGAATGAAGACAATGACAGCATTGAGTATGATGAAGAAGAGTGGACAACTCAAAATGGCAATGTAGCAGTGGAAGATGAGTACCTTGATGATGATACAGATGCGAGTGATGAGTGAGGCTCAATGATTATAAAGATGTTGCATTATTTAAAACAAAAGACTGCCAATCAAACATCAGGGAAGAAAGTGATTTTTTTTCTTTTGCTTAGGTGATTTTTCAGTTATGTCAAACCAGTGATGAGAAGGGTTTAAGAACTAGACTACATTCCACTTATCACTGGAGTGCAGAATAGACAAAGCACAGCAGCTGTGAAAAGACACTGGTTATGGACAAGTACTGTTTTCAGCCAAATTATTTATTATGACTGCTGTTGTACTGTTTACCTCTTAAAATTGCTGGCCTCTTGTTCAATCCTAAAATTTGTGTATACTGTATATGAAATAAAAGTTTGACTTGCATAAAATTCCTACAAGTTGCTGGCTGTTTGACATAATTAAAGATGTGTGTAATTAATATCAGATTCTTCATGAACCTACTTGGTATTACAGAAATTATCTTGCTATTTTTGTACATTTTTTTTTTCCTACTTGCTCCAAAGTGAGTGATCCAGTCTGTTGTAGTTACGCAAATGGCTGATACTTGTGCAGGTGGACTTCTTTTTATGGGTTTAATTGGCAAGTGTTAATGAGCTGCTGAACAGACTTGTACCAGAAGGCATTGGAAAAATGCTCAAGAGCAGAAACCCTTGGATATGCTTTAAACTTAGTTATTCTGACACGAATTATAGTATCCACCACTTTCCCAATTGGAATCAACTAAGCTAGACGAAGGATGAACTTGTGAACTTACTTGTGTAGGGCTTAGTACCAGAGTATCTGTATAGACCTGAAAACCATCAGAAAACGAACTCCCTCTTTAAAAATAAAAATGATTATTGTACTTTTTTTTTTTTTTTGTAGGTTTTTTTTTATTCCTTCCCCTCCAGTCTTAAAGCTAGAATATCGCCAGTATTGTTTTAAGCCATGGTCACCAACTTGGGATCCATTTATCATTGGGTGTTTGAGAACGTTTGAAGGGGTCTGCCACAATGTCTGTGCTGGCTATAAGAATATCACTAAGTCGTTACCTAGGTCTACTAGGCAAAGTGCTTCTTAACTTATGAAGCTCACTTGGTGGTAGTGTTCTCAAACAGAGAGACCTAAGGATTTGGTATGTAATTCTTTTGAAAGTTGCATCACAAGTAGACAGGGTGTTTAAGAAGGCATTTAGCATGCTTGCCTTCATTGCTGATACCATTTGAGTATAGGAGTTGGGGGTGTCATGTTGAGGCTGTACAGCTGTTGGTGGGACCACTTTTGGAGTACTGTGTACAGTTCTATAGCAGAGCAACTAGAAAGGATATTAAATTGGAGGAGGTTCAGAAAAGATTTACCAGGATATTGCTGGGACCAGAGGGTTTGAATTATAAGGATAAGTTGGGAATTTTTTTTTAACTGGAGCGTTGATTTACTGCGGTAAATCATGAGGGGGATAGATTTAGGTGAATGGCAAAGTCCTTTTTCCCTAGGGTGGGGGACCTCAAAACTAGAGGGCACATTTTTAAGGTGAGAGGAGAAAGATTTAAAAGGGTCCTGAGGGGTAGCTCTTTCACACACAGGGTGGTTTATGTGGAATGAACTGCCAGAGGAAGTGGTAGATGCGTGCACTTGCAACACTTGAAAGACATCTGGACAAGTACATGAATAGGAAAGGTTAACAGGGATATGGGCCAAGTGCAGGCAAATGGGACTTGTTTGGGAAACTTGGTTGGTATGGATGAGTTTGTTTCCGTGCTGCATTACTAAGTTAATCTGCCATGTTGTCAAGGAAATGATGTCCAGTCTCGGATGTGCTCTGCTCAGTTTATTTAATTGCAGGCAAAGGGAGAAATGCAAACTGGTACAGCCATCAACATCAGCCTTGATACAACTTTCAGTGACACTTTACCGGCCTTAGTGAATTGTCACAAACTTCACTATAACTTGAGCAACCTTTGCTAAAGTCTGTTAACATAAACAGAATTCTAAGAATGTGTCTCAACTTCATTTTATAGCTCTAGCAACAAATTTCAGTAATACTCTTCCATCTTCAACAGAATTCTACCAATATTAGTCATGATTTATTAGTGATTGATTGTTCTCCAATTTAAACAACATATCTTGTTTGTCAAAAGTAAGTTAGCAAGAGCAAGAAAAATTACAAAGCACAGGTAAAACTAAACAGCAAATACCAAAAAATGAATTAATATCTCTCTTGACAGAATTGTTGCTCAGCACCAATTTTGTATTGAATAAAAGAAAATTAATCTTTAATTGTATAACATGGTTATTTTATGTTTAAATACCTGCACTACAGAAAGTCCATGGAATTTTTATAAAATGGAGGGGCAGTCTCCGCAGCAGTATGATTGAGAACGCTTCGAGTGCAAACCTTGCCTTGGGTCAATATCTGATGTCCCAGGTATTTGTAGTTTGCATAATATCTGTTCTTGTAACATCGACCCTGCATTATATTGTTGATTTATGAATGTTGTCAGCCTTTCATTCATTACTTTTTTGCATCTAGCCATTTGTGGTTTTTTTTTTTTTTTTTTAGTTAACATACAATACTAGGAGCAAGACTAGGCAATTCAGTTCCTCAGGTCTGTTCTGCCATTCCAGTACGATCGTAGCTCTTCTCATCTCGGCCCCGCTCCGCTTTGTTGCCCACTCCCCATAACCCTTCAACCTGTCTAAAAATTTTAAAAAAACTGTCTCAAATTTACGCAACTTCCTGACATCCACCATGCAGTAGAGAATTCCACACATTCCCTCTTGAAAGTAGTAATTTCTCCTCCCAAATCTTCTGCCTTCATCGTAAAACTGACCTGTTGTTCTAGATTCCTTTTGTGGGGCAAATGTCCTTTGAATGTTTATTGTCAATCCTCTTTAGCATCTTAAATACCTCAATTAGATCTCATTTTGCTCTTTTAAACTGTAGAGAGTATAGGCTTAAACTGCTTGATCTGTCTTAAGACAAACCTTTCACTTTTGGAATCAACATAATGAGTCTTGTCTGAGCTGATGCCTCCAATGCAGCCACCCCGCCTCCCCCACCCCTCCAAGTAAGCAGACCAAAACTACTGTTAACAATACTCCAGGTGTGTTCTTTCTAATGCCTTGTCCAGTTGCATCAATAACCTACTTTTTAAAGCAATACACACTAAAATAAAATTTGCCTTCCTTACTACCTGTTATATCTGCATGTTAGTTTTCTGCAATTCATGCACATGGAAGCCCAGATCCCTCTGCATTGAAGTTTTGGAAGTTTTTTTTCTCCATTTCGATATTTGTTTTTCCATTCTTCTGACCAAAACGGATAACCTCACACTTATCCGTGTTAAACTTCATCTATCAAATTTTTAGCCATTCACCAAAACTATCTGTATCCATTTGTAATTTTTTATTGCAAGTTACTTTTTCCCACCTATTTAGCTTCGTCTGCAACTTAGGGTATAGTACCTTCTATCCCAGCATCCAAGTCACTTAATAAGATTGTAGGAGACTGACGAAAGACTCCTGTGGTGCTATGACTCTGCTTTCTATTGGTTAGCCTAGCTATTGGCATTTTGAAAGCATCCAAGCTGTTGCATCAACCATTTCCTGTGGCAGTTCCATCTTGTAACCATACTTGTTGTAAAGTCCTTATTGCCTTAATAGAACTAACTTCCTCATATTAATGGCCTTTGCTTTGAATGTTTCAGCTTGTGGGAGAATCCAATGTCTATCCAATCCAATCCAAGCTCTTAACTTTATCAGGTCTAAACTTTCCAAACTGTTCACCTTTTAGAAGTTGCAATCTGTTCTGGTTCAATCCATTTGAATCTTCTATGGTGAGGTTTTTTCACTCTCATCCATTTATCAGTGTTTCTAACCCAAATTCCTTTAGATTTGTCTCCGATTCACCAGCACCTATGCATCTACATTTCTACGTCAGGGTTTCTAAAATGACTTCCTTTAACCTTAGTTACAATGCTCATCAAGATCCTCGATTAGCTCCATGCTATGTCCCATGTTTGTGCTGTTTCTTCTGTCCGTTGGCCATGATTCCCTTTTATCCACATCTTGCATTAAAAAGACTGAAAGAATGTGGAAAATATTAAAATTCACTGTTCAATCACATTGCCAGAACAGTCACATTTTTACTTACAAGCCAGACCAAGTGTGAGGTTCAAATAGCCAATTTTTTTTTTAAAGTTTCATTTAGATTTTAATTAAATGGAATTGTAAAGGTTTGCACTGCTATGGAAAGTGATAGAATGGCTGTTGTCAGGAACAATGATGGTACTGTATGTATAATCATACTGCAAGTTGGTGCAGTTTGGAACTGAAGCCTTAAGAGTTATCCAGGGTACAGTTAGCCCCCCAGTCAGTGGATAAGGTCAGAAACAAGTGTCGGCAACGCAACTACAACCAGGGAATGTAATCCGATTACATTTTAAAGAGAAACGTTACCACTTGTTTTGACTGTTCAAAGCTGCCTTGCTCATTTCCTGTCATGGGGTTGATATATCCACTTAGCCAAAGGGCACTAATTCATAGACAGTGAATCTTGCCCTTGATGAAAAAGCTGAGACACCAAATCTGTAGCTGGCTTTCTTGCTATTAAATCAGTACTAAATTAAATGCGGGTTGCACCTGAACTGGAGGGGCACTGATATCCTGGACGGGAGGTTTGCTAGAGCTCTTCGGGAGGGTTTAAACTAGTTTGGCAGAGGGATGGGAACCTGAGCTACAGATCGGAGGATGGGGTAGGTGGTGTACAGGCAGATACAGCATGCATAGAGTCTGTGAGGAAGGATAGACAGTTGATAGGGCAAAGTTGCAGTCAGTGTGACAGGTTGAAGTGTGTCTATGTTAATGAAAGAAGTGACAGTAATAAGGGTAACAAACTTAGAACGTGGAACTATGCCATTCTGACCATTACAGAGACTTGGATAACACCGGCAGGAATCGTTGTTGGATGTTGCGGGGTTTAGATGTTTCAAAAGAAATAGGAAAGGAGGTAAAAGGTGGGGGAGTGGCATTGCTAATCAGGGATTGTATCACAGCTGCAGAAAGGGAGGTCGTTGATGAGGATTTTTCTACTGAGTCAGTATGAGTGGAAGTCAGAAACAGGAAAGGAGCAGTCACTTTATTGGGAGTTTTCTGTAGAACCCCAATAGCAACAGAGGAACGGATTGGGAAGCAGGTTTTGAAAAGGTGCAGAAGTAATAGGGTTGTTGTCATGGGTGACTTCAACTTCCCTAATATAGACTGGAACCTCCTGAGTGCAAATAGTTTGGATGGAACAGATTTTGTCAGGTGTCCGGGAAGGATTTCTTACTCGATATGTAGATAGGCTGACTAGAGGGGAGGCCGTATTGAATTTAGTGCTCGGCAACGAACTGGG